AATGGTCAAGCACCCTCGAGGCAGTTACACAGTGATTACAACTGTTTCTCGAAGTGAAAGCACGAGAAAGTAAATAAAGTTATGCGCAGCTGTCATCCGTACGCAAGGGAGTAAGCACAAAATGCCGAAAATCCTTAGCAGGATGCAGCGCACCCTTCATGCGACTCGCCGAATATCTCACGGCGCTTCGCGCTTGGTGATGTGAGAGCCTGGTCCGGTGAGAACCCGGCGTGCTCCGTCCCGGCTTTGTAGGGATGCGAGGTCAATGGTCTAACGACTACGGCATGCACGACTATGAGTACACCCCCCCCCCTCCGGTGTTTGCCTATCGGGATTGGGTTTTCGTCGCTTGGCAACGACGTTGTAAAACAAGCCAATTCACTTCGTGAACTCGGCAACCAGGTTACCGTTTTTTTTTTTTTCCTCCGTTTATTTTTTTTGGGCGGTAACCATAATGATGGTTGAGTAGATCATGTTGTGCGGGGTGAACCCTCACTCCGCGCAAGGGGGATGATCGCACCACGTTGTGTTAAAATGGTCAAGCACCCTCGAGGCAGTTACACAGTGATTACAACTGTCTCTCGAAGTGAAAGTACCAGAAAATAAATTAATTCATACGCAGCTGTCATCCGTACGCAAGGAAGTAAGCACAAGATGCCGAACACCCTTAGCAGGATGCAGCGCACCCTTCATGCGACTCGCCGAATATCTCACGGCGCTTCGCGCTTGGTGATGTGAGAGCCTGGTCCGGTGAGAACCCGGCGTGCTCCGTCCCGGCTTTGTAGGGATGCGAGGTCAAAGGTCTAACGACTACGGCATGCAAGACTATGAATACACCCCCCATGACCGTAGCCGGCGTTGCCAAGTCTGTGTACATAGAGTGGTGGGAACAGGCCATGAGGGAAGAGTTTGAAGGGCACTTGGGCACGGAAAAGTGTTCATTCGTAGACGGCGCGCCAGAGGGGCGCAGGCCTGTGAGGTCAAAGTGGTGTTTTAGTTGAAAGACCAACAAAAAAAGGAACATCGAAAAGTTGAAAGCGTGTCTGGTTGCTAGGGTGGTTTCCTAAATCCCGAACGTCGATTATTGCCATTCGTCTTCCCCTTGCCCATCATTCGCACCCATTAAATTGATGCTTGCGGTAGCAAAGGAGATGGGCATGAACATCAATCACTGGGATGTGAAACAGGCGTACATACACGCCACGCTAGACGAGGAGGTTTTTGTGAGGCTCCCCGCTGGGTGCGGGGACAAATTGCATAATGATTATTAAGGCTGAGCGTGCGATTTACGGTCTTACTCAGAGGGATAGGCAGTGGGGGTACCACGCTGCTGATACGCTAGTCGAGAATGGGTTCGAGCGGTGCATGGCGGACCCGTGCGTTTTCCGCAAGATGTTTGACGAAGTCGTGGTGATGATTATCGTGATCTACGTGGATGACATANCGAGGAGGTTTTTGTGAGGCTCCCCGCTGGGTGCGGGGACAAATTGCATAATGATTATTAAGGCTGAGCGTGCGATTTACGGTCTTACTCAGAGGGATAGGCAGTGGGGGTACCACGCTGCTGATACGCTAGTCGAGAATGGGTTCGAGCGGTGCATGGCGGACCCGTGCGTTTTCCGCAAGATGTTTGACGAAGTCGTGGTGATGATTATCGTGATCTACGTGGATGACATATTGGTGGCTGGGTCTGACGAGGATTGCAAGGAGTTGCTTGATTCTCTCAACGAGAAAGTTCCCAACGAAAACCTGGGAGAATGCGAATGGTTTGACGGATGTGCCATTGAGAGAGATGTAGAGGCTGGGACTCTTAAAATGTCGCAAACCGCGTACATCGACAGCATGGCGAAACGCTTTGATGTACAATCGACCTCCCGCATCCCTGCTTTCCCCAATGTCGACCTAGGGCCGAAGTGAGATGACGAGAAGTTAGGGGAGTGGCCGGTGAGGGAGGCCATCGGTAGCATCATGATGTCGGCGAGGAGAACCGACCGTGAAGGTCGCGTGGAGTGGATTTGCTTCACAACAGATTCATTCAATCTGTACTCTCGCGTCAACGACGGACTCGCGAAGTTCTGCCTTTGGGATAGGCCTGAAGACGGCGGGTAAAAGCTCCATCGCCACAACATGCACCAACGTGCCGCTCAGGTACATTTTTTGCCTTCCCTTGCGTTGGTTGCGGAAGTACTCCATGCCCTACCACCACGTCCAGGAGCAGCACGGCGAGGAATTGCCCATGAGAGAGAAGGATCCCGATACTGGGAGATTTAAAGCCAGCTACGACGTAATAAGCGAGCAATGAGAAGCCCCACGTGATGGCAAAGCTGGAGAAGGGTCCGGGGGCCAGGACGTCTGTCGCTAGTGCATGGCGCAAGACAAGTCAAAAACGTTCTCGGCCTACAGTAGCAGTAACAGTAGACTCGGAGTCCAGCGAACAAGGAGAGGGAAGTGGAGGAGAGGGAGGGGGGTCGGACAGCGAGGAAGAGGGAGGGGGGCAGGGGGGGAGGAGGGAGAAGAGGAGGAGGAGGAAGAAGAAGAAAGTGAGAAAGAGGGGGAAGAGGGTGAGGAAGAAGAGGAGGAAGAGGGAGAGGAAGAAGAGCAAGAGGGTGAGTAAGAGGAGGTGGAGGGGGAGGAGGAGGAGGGGAGGAGGAGCAGCAGCAGGAGGAGCAGGACAAGCAGGAGGAAAAAGGAAAAAGGAGCCAGGTGTACGCTCCCGGGGGCGTAGACTAACTCCGAAACGTCGGTACTCGGAGTTGGGGTATAGATGGCGCCCGCACTTAGGAACGTCAAATTTGGCGTGAGGCTCGACGCTCATTGGCTGCCTCGACCCCAGCACATGTTCTTATGGCAATGATCTTATTCCGATCAGACATTTGGTCGCTGAAAACGGGGTTCTTGTTCTTATTCCACCGTCAAGTACTCCAGAGGCGCACCAGGACGCCCTTTGGTGACTCGCAGCTATGTACATACATCGGTAGGACGTGGGAATTGGCGTGCAATTTCATGCTGAAGGATAAGTTGCATCATCCCCATACAGCACCTCCATACTTCGCCGTACTATGTCCATACTGTCCATTCACCAGGCACCAAGATTACTGGCCGTCGACTTGGCCGCATGCTTCTACAACAGACCTAGACCGGACCACGCACCGCAGCAGCTATGCTCGCGGTTGATTACAAACATGAAAACAAACCCCCAAGGCTTCAACTTTTTTAGTCGATAAGGATCACGTTCGGCCTGCGTTCCCTTCCCGCTACGCCCGACGTGCCTGTAGCTCCGCTCCCATCCACCTGCTCGACCGTGTTCCTCTCAAGCAAGATCCACGAGCCCACCACCGCATCCGGATCTCCTTTGTACATTTCCAACGGCAGCTTCATGCTGCGCGTACTTCGGTCGAGGTCGAGATGCACACGGTAGTCGTAAAGGTGGCGAGTGCGCTCCTGAGACTGTCGAGTGATCACCCCCCCAAACCACCCCATGCCCAGCCTAACGAGTAATCCACGCTGCAGTAACGAATTGTCAAGAGCTGCCGGTGTAGATGCTTGAATGCGAAACCCATCCGGAATCTCCATGGCACGAATCTCGTCGTCCGATTCCATGCTGTCGTCGTCGTCCACATGACTCAGCTCGTCCATCTGGCCACTGGCCGTCTCTGCAACGACGGGCACAAACGATAATGTCGCAGAAACTGATATGTCGTCTACGCAAACATATGTTCAACGGCAACGGCAAGGGCAAGAGCAACAGCAACAAGAAACGTAACAACAACCAAGCAGGGGAGTGAGAAACCCTGGTGGGCATACTTACCACGAGTGTCTTCGTCGCTAGAATCGCCGTCCTCCACTCCCTCGCCGCTGTGGTCCCCCTCGCCCTCAACCGTCTGGTCATCCCCACCCCCGCACCCATCGTGGCTAGTCTCGGAAGATCCCTCGTCGTCGCTGGAGTCCCCATCGCCCGCGAAGGTGTACGCCTTGTCCAGACCCTCCAACGAGATTCGGTCATCGCCTGAACCGTCGACAGTCATCGCCATGCCACTCTTTTCGAAAAGGCGGAACCGGTATTCCTCGCGGCTGTCGAATTCTTCCATGGCTGCCCTAACCCACTGCGTGATCAGCACGCGCCGGTCAGACGCCGTCAACGAGTTTCTTTTTCATCTTTCGACGTTGTCCGCCTGCTCCAACCACATATCCATTCGCTTCCCAACCTCCACTTTCAGAAAGCGTCCGGCTGACGCGTCGACGGGCTGCAGCTCGTCCGTGGTCTTGGTGGGAAAAACCAGGGAAGTGAGTTGCATTGCTTGGATAGATAGTCCTTGAACTTGTCCGTCGTCTGCGCGTGCAAGTTGTGCATGAGAAGGAGGGTCCTCTCCATGGGGAGCTGGCTCCTCCCGCGCATCAAGCTCGGGCGAAAGGACTCCTTGGCCCACTCCATGCAAAAGTCCTGGTCAGCCCACGCGCTTTCTTGGAAGAAGACATCCACATTCCTGTGGTACGCGGCCTACTCCACCTTCGAGATCCGCTTCCCCGTGCCTCTGAAAATGAGGGTAATCCGCATAACCCTCTTACCGGGACCAAAGATGACTTGCATGGTGCACTGCCTTTTCTCCAGTCCGGCAAAGGACTGGCTGACGGCTACTCGCTTCACGCCTTGCTGTGCCTACGTGATTCCCAGCCCGTTCACGAACGGCAAAGTCACCTGATCCACGTCGAAACGCTCCAACAGCTGGAACTGCCTGTACTTTTCTAGCCTGGGCTCCTCCGCCCCACCCGCAGACAGTGATGCACTCTCAGGGAAGACTACCTTCCTCCGCTGCACCAGCTCGCGGATCAGCTGGCGAAACCTCCTGTGAAACCGCTAGATTCGCGGCAGGCATTCCTCGATGGACTTGGCCTTTATGTTGGAACGGCGCCTTGGTGCCACTTTGTGTCTCTTGGCCCATTTTTGCATCCACCCGAAGGAAGGTCGAAACAATGCCGCCCGGCTGTCGGTAGGGTGGTGTTCCTCCATCAGCTTCCGGAACGTGACGGTGAGCCAAAGGGTCGACACCTTCAGCTTCTTCCTGCGGCGAGCCAAGAAACGATTGTATAGCTCCTTCTCGGCGATAGGAAACCACCGCTTTGGCTGCTGTTTCGCGAGTAGCGTCTGCTTCACCTCGTCTGCGGCGCCCGCCACGATCTCGTTCTCCTCCTTTACCCACTTGCAGATGTTGGGGAGAGGGACATTCATGTGGGTTTCCAGGTACTGCAGAGGGGTGAGGTGCTCGGCCAGCCAGAGGGCTTGGCGGTCCTCCTCGAGGATATGCAGCTGCTGGAGCACACGTATAGCCGTAGCGATTGCGCTTGGCAGCGCCACGACGAGCCGACTTAGGTTCAGCACGCGTGAAGCCTTCAGATTCCAGGTCGATGTCGGGGAGACGCTTCGGCTGGAGGACGAACGAAGCTGCCCCCGTGATGCCATCGAACTTCACATGATAACAGCGCCCAGGTCCGGCACGCTCCCACAACAGGACATCCCCCTTCGCATCGTCTCCCAGCATCCGCTGCAGTCGCTGGCCTTGGAACATGTTTGCCGTGCTGTGGTTTGTTTTCATGTGGACTCCCAGGCCTTTTGTGTTCACAAAGTTCGTCGGACAGTGGGGGCATCGCACACGGGGAGCCGGGGCTGGCGATGCAACACTGACGCCGGACACATACTCCTGGACGCCAGCGCGAGTCCGCGAAACCTACAGACCAATGGGAAAAGATACTCATGCCATACGTAGATACACAATCAGCAAGGTTGAAAAAATCCATGCAGCAGTACCGACAGCAGTACACCACGCACATCGGTGTGGATACTTTTTTGCTCCACGTGTATGTTTTGCATCAAGTACAGCAGTAGTAGCACTTTACACACGCATTAATATACCTACCTTATGCGGCAAAACTCTGCTTCAACTTTCCGGGGCGGGCGGCCGGACACGGTAGTTATGTATGCCAATCAAGACTTCACGGTTTACAATGGCGTATCACGTGATGCGTACACTCGTGACACTACAAAAATGAAGTTACGCGCCAACAAGAAGAGACGGACGAACACAAACGCGAAAAAAACAACTGCTGTGCACATGCTGGATGTACTCAGAAAATACCTACTGCCACACACAGACAATTTTGAAGTGATTGTTTGTGCAGAGTTTGCATGGGCTCATCGGTTCCCCGCTGCCAATAGCGAACGAGTTGTAGATGTTTAGCGAGCCTTTGCTGGCGTTCTCTCGTGAGTAGTGTTCACACATTGATAGTAGATCTTTAGGACTAACGCGTTCTGATTGGTTGGGCGCTGTTTGGCGATGGTTCTGGCGATCGGTTCCTCTCCAGCGCCCTCTCCCCATTCCGCATTCCGAGCAAGCGGCACAGCCGCGTGCCGCCCAGTTCGCGGCCGCTAGGCCGTGCTTTGGCCCTGGGTGAGGGTGAGGGTGAGGGTTAGGGTCAGGGTAGATGTGGGGTGAGCAACCTAGCCTTGCTTGCATGAAGAACCTAGCCTTGTTACGTTCAACATCAATTAGTCCTAAGGAGTTACTATCAAAGTGTAACTAAGGCTCGCTCTCGTTGTCTCTTTCCTCCATTCGGGGCCCCGCGCGCCGCCGGAGCTGCTGCTGCTGCTGCTAACCGCTTTCCGGATGCAGACGACGCGGCAGCGTGGTCTGAAGGCAGTGGGGGGGAGGGGCAAAGTGAGCCACTGTGCATCCGATTTTCAAGTAATTTTTGGGGAATTGGGGCATTTGGGGTCATGCCCCAATTGTGGGGCAAGAAAAAACACTTTGATCTCGCCGCACCGAATCGCTGAATTTCAGCGAAATCTCGCCGTAATGTCGAAGGGACGGGAAATAACCAACGGCAGCGGTGTGATGTATTCCAGTATGTGTAGCTGTGGGTGCTAGGTATGTGTGCGTGCGATTGAAGCTGCTGCTACTGGGTGGATCATATTCGAGTGGCCGAGCTGGAATAGTCTGCAGCCGCAGCAGTCAGTTGGTGATTTGAGAATGCACGGGAGCGGAGTTGTGTTGTGAGGTGTAGACTACTGCTGTAGTCTAGTTGTAGAAGAACTCTATTGTGCTGCTTTGCGTCTGCGTTGGTTGGACTTTGCATGTGATACAGCAACAGAGCAAGATCTGTTCGTGCTGTTGTACATGTTGCTGCCGAGGTGTGCTGTTTCGTTTCTTGTTTGCTTGAAGTCCGGCACGCCTGCTTGCCGCACACGGTCACGTCCCGCACCTCTCTGACTGGAGTTTGTGTCCACTAAAGTGAGCGTGTCTGCGTAATGCCAACCACGAGAGCCGAGCGGAGGAAAACTAAATGTGCTTGTCCTTTGTGCGCTTGCAGTGTTCCACATCATCATAGACTCGGCGTATCATATGCACTCCGAGTATCATATTTTTTAACTTGTTACTTCCATCCGTGCTCGGCATGGCGAAATCAAGCTCTACTCCACCCGTACCGGTCGTTCGGGACGAGACGAACGGAATATCTATCCCGTCTCCCGCGCCGGAGGCAAACACATACGCCAGACAACAGAACGCACAGAGGAGGACAGAGCCATCACCCTTGACGGTCCACACATGGAATCACAAATAATACTTGATTGTCTGGATCAAAGGTGGAGTAAGAGCAGGCCCCGCCGATAAATACATCTAAAACAACTCAACACCAGCAGATATTTCGAGTCCCCAACCCTCAGATTGACATGTGCCCACTGGCGGGTCCTACAGCGGGCGTGGGCGAGGTCGCAGGCCTTGACGGAGAGTACCTGTACTCTGAAATATTGTTGCTTTCGAAAAATTCGAATATTAATAGTTTCTTCCGCTTGAGTGCAACGTTGCCTGTCAACTTCAGCCCTATGGCTTTCATGAAGGCGATCGCGGCTGCGTCCGCGAGGGTGCTGATCTGTTCAAGCTTCAAAGGCACCCCGCTAGCGACGCTTTCACTCGCTCTATCTCTGTCCCCTCTGGCGCGCTTCGATGCCGGCGGCGGTGTCGAAGTAGAAGTCGAAGCAGAGGACGTCCTGACTCGAGATACCTCGTTCACGGCTGCGAGGTCGGCGGCGGCATCTCGGTCCCTTCCTGCCTTGGCCGCTATCTTGGATCGTTTTCGCGCCTTCTCTACCGTAGTAGGCGCACGGACAAGTTTCGGCGCGGCACCCGTAAGTACTTGTCTGTATTACCTTGCGTTGTAACGTTTCGTCACCTCGGCCATCACCTGGCTCTTCCCGTCGCAGACCATCGTCGCTTCCGCGAGACAGGTGGCAAAGGCCTCCAGCTCTGCATCACTTGTCGGAGTCAACGCTATAACCCTCTCCAGGGTCGGGTGCCTTGAAGGCAAACGCCGCCCCCCCCCGTAGTTACCGCGCGAGATGTCCTGGGCGGCGGCTTCTCCAGCGTTGCTGCGGTAGGTCCTGCTGGTCGCACCTCCCATCGCCCCGCCGCCACTGGCACCCGCAGCGCCCTCGGCAGCATCTCCTGTCGTCGTTGACGGCAACAACAGCGGCGGGACGGCCCCCGCCCCCTCGGCAGTCCTTCCTGTCGCCGTTGGCGGCAACAGCAGTGGCGGCACGGCCCCCGCACCGGCGGAAGAACCTGTCGCTATCGTCGACGGCATGAGCGCCGCCGCTCCCGGCCGACCTCCTCTGTTGGTCAACGGCAACGGCATCACCCTCGCACATGCACCCACCGCGGTCCCCGCCGGAGTCCCCGCTCCTGCCCCGACGGCCGCGGCCCCCGTCCGGCTGGTATCTCCTGCCGTCGTCGACGGCAGAGAAGTACGGGTGTTGACTAGCGAGTTCGCCGCGGCGGTTTTTGCGTGTGTCAGAGCGTTGGCTCTCCTCTGTTTGGCGTATTCGAACCCCATCGGCTCAAAGTCCTCCGCGGCCACCTGAAACGAGTCATCCAACAGGGTGACGCAAAAACGTCAGAGATCTCGCGTCATATGGATCAGGGTGGGCGTACCAAAATTGAAATTCACGGCACCGACGGCACAAAAAAAAATGAAGGCTAAGAATACAGAATCCCGCGACGTTAAAAGTGTCCTCCCATGAGTATACAACTGGCGCTCACCGTCGGAGTGTCACCCGCTCGAGGGAACGGGCTCGAAGTGAGGATCGACTCGGCTGCAGTNGCGGCCAAGCTTTCGGTCCATGTCGTGGTTGTGACGATGAATGCGTTGCAGCAGCCTCGCATCGCACGCTTCCGCACCGAGCCGAGCCACGCCGTTCACCAGGCGGTTGATGCCACCGTGAAAGTTCTCGTTCTTTCCGGTCCCTCCTTTCTTGGACCACCTCATGAGCCCAGTCTTCGGCCCTCTACCAAGCGGGATATACCTGAGGCAATACATAGAACGACAGAAAAACAAGCGGCAGGGTGGAAAAACATGACTGAGAATACATTCTGCAAAAATATCAACACATAAGAGTACAACAGTGGAAACAGCCTTGAAGCATTGGTGACGTCTTGACGAGAGCCACTTACATTAGGTCGACGTCTAACGGATCCTGGACGCATCCTTTCCGGAGGCACTTGATGTGCTTGTTCAGCGCTGCCATGGCGCCAATAGGACCCGATTTTCCTGGCGATAAATCCGGGCGCAGCAGTGGCAGCTCCTCCCTGGCGATGGCAGCCTGGTCAAGCTTGACGTAGTCGCCTACGTACTTCACCAGGTCGTCCTCAACCTCTTGTGCACGCCGGGAACCCGTCCGAACGAACTGCGACCACGCTCTCTTTTTGGCCGTTACCTCGGCCTCCATCTCCAACATCCCCAGATTTACCCGCTTCAAGTATGCCGCTACCTCTTCAACGTCCGGCTGGTACTTGGTGCGAAGAATTCGTCCAACCCCCGCCGCAAATTCGGCCTTTCTTGCGTGGTTTTTCGATGTCGTGGCACCCACAAGAGTCTACGGAGCAGAAGGTAGCAACAGGCGGTGGCGGTGGCGGTGGACAAGCCATCAGTGTGCAGCGAGCGGAGGGCACGCGACGACAACGAACGGAGTGATTCATTCAAAAGGCGGCTAAATGTACAACCTTCGAGGATCTCGTTCGCAGCGGCTTCCGGCGTACTGTACCATCACACCTAGAATTTCGAACAAACTTCTGGAAACTGTTACCCGCCCAAAGTGGAAAGAATCCGCAAGTGCCCTGCGCATCACTCCCTCGAAAATATGGAGTATCCACCCCTTGGTGACATCATCAGCCCCCCTACAGCAGACGTCGTCGTACAACCACTTCAGAGCGAGCAGCGTGCCGTTCCTCGTCCGTCTCTCCGCCTACCTGCGGCGTTGTGCGGGTGATGAGAACGAGTAAGAGCGGACTAAACGTGGCATCTTTCGCTACCACACATAGATGCTTTACGATACTCAACGCAGCTCTCGACAAAGGCATTTTGCGAAAATTTCGCCGACAGTTGTTTTCGCGTATGTCCAGAGGAAACAGTTCCGCGACAATCTCGCCGACATTAAACTTGACGATAGTGTACCTCTTCAGAAGGAGGTATATTTCCTCCTTTCTTTCGCACAGCTCCGTATGCGTGAACCTTGGCGTCCTCCCCCAACAGGAAAAGTAGGCAGTCCGGAGAATCAATGACCCTCAAACCGATGCGCCACGTGCCATCAATACACAGAAACTGCCCCCCATAATGCGAGTGGATTTCGCGTTTCATGTGCTCCTTGTCCTGTGGATGACGACAGAACGCAACATTGTGATCGGTGTGGCGGCAGAGGAGAATCTGAACACGACAGAACAAAACCCGAGCAGACACGAGAAACGCGT